CCCGCTTGTGCTGTGGAGGAGGCTGCAGTTGAGTTTATTTGAGGACATTTTTGCCTGAGGGCTTCCTCGTCTGAGCGCCCACGTCTTCGCGGTTCACAGATCGCCATGCCGCACCAGTGGCTGGAAGGGAACCTGCCCGTGAGTGCCAAGTGCACGGTGTGCGACAAGACGTGCGGCAGCGTGCTGCGCCTGCAGGACTGGCGCTGTCTCTGGTGCAAGGCCATGGTGAGTGCGTGCAGGCCCCGTGCCCGATCCCATACACGCCTGGATGGGGTCGGCAGCTCAGCCGGTCCTGGAGTGCCCACTCCCATGGTGGCAGGGACAGTCGCGGGGGATGCGGTGACCCTTGTCATGCGTGGGTTCTTGTTTCAGGTGCACACGTCATGTAAAGAGTCCTTACAGACCAAGTGTCCGCTGGGCCTGTGTAAGGTGTCGGTCATCCCGCCCACAGCGCTCAACAGCATCGATTCTGACGGTGGGTGCCTCACACTCTCCTGGCTCACCTGTTTCCTTGGCCTTCTTTCTCCATGCCCTCTCCCCTCTGCCATGCCAGCATTGGTCACACTGGTGATGTGGGGATGTGGTCGGGAAGAGGTCAGGCCGGGCCGCTATGGGGAGAAGATACGCGCAGAGGTGGTAAACGGGGTCCTGATGGCTGCGGGGCACACGCGGACGGGAGCCGGCGCACTCGTGCTGTCCCATGTGCTGGCTTATCCTGCGGCAGAAGTGGTCAGCGTGCTGTTCCGTACCTGCTCACTGTCCAGATGGGAGATGATGATGTATGCTAGCAGGTGTTGGTAGAAAGGTGGGAAGCTGGGGGAACTAGCTCCTCCAGACGGAGAGCAAGAGGGAAGGACAGTGGTGAGGTGCACGGTCATGTAAACATAAGGTCAAACCGGATGGGACTCCCGTCCTTCTTCGTAGGGAATGGCGATGTGGAGATCTGTTTATTGCTCTCTTGCTGGTGACTGGATGTGGATGTGTAAGTCACAGGTCTCTTTGGGGCGTCTGCTGCTTTTTATATGATTGACTGTGCTCCCGGAGTCTTTGATGGCCCTCTGATTTTTCTCCCCTCCCTTTCCATTCTCATGTCCAGGCTTCTGGAAGGCCACGTGCCCTCCGTCCTGCACGAGCCCGTTGTTGGTCTTTGTCAACTCCAAAAGTGGGGATAACCAGGGTGTGAAGTTCCTCAGAAGATTCAAACAGCTGCTGAACCCTGCCCAAGTGTTTGACCTCATGAACGGAGGACCACACCTTGGGTAGGAAGCTTACAAAATCGATCTTTCTTGGAGTTCAAAACAATTTTGAAGATAATGCATGCTTATGAAAAAAACATTCAAAGATACAGTAAGAAAAATTTAAACAGGAGATGAAAATAGTCTTTGTTGAACCATCCCCTCCCTAGATTCCATCAGCGGAGGCACACACGCTTAACAGCGAGTACAGCTGCGGGTCTTTCCAGCTTTCAAAAGCGTGTTTCACTTGTGCAGACGCACTTTTAAGCTGGGTTACCTACCGTTGCCTCCTGTGTACCGCCTGCTCCTTGCGTGTGTCGGCATGGACATGTTTTTATGTCACTGGTTACAGATCTGCCTCGTTCTTTTTAATGGTGCATAGTACTAAGGAGGATGTTTTCTCCGGTGAGGCCACAGGGAGATCCTTTATTGTGGGAGGGCACCAGAGGTCTGTTACCTTACAGGTGCAGTGACGCATGCAGATATGTGAAGTCCAGTGTATGGGGCGAACTACTGATGCCTTTTATCTGCCAGCTGGAGGTCTGATGGGTGTTCTTCCTACTTGTGCACATTGTACAGTGTGTGGAGAACATTTGCTGCTGTAAATGGTGTCATTTGAATGAACTCTTAGCTTCTGTGCTTGGCGGCATCAGTTCAAGGTAGCGGCTCTAAGAGGCAGCCTTGCCTGGAAGGGGGATTGTCCAGGAAGTTTGTCGGGGAAAGTAGAATGCGTTCTCTGGTGTGCATTTGCCTCTGAGGCTCCTCGGAGTGTGCTACTTTGCAGCCAGATGTTGCTGGAACAGGAGCCTGGGTGCCTGGCGGAGGAGAGGAACGTGCCCACTGGCCCATGGGGTTCTGGCATGTTGCTTTTGCCCCCTGGCAGCAAGTCTCTGTTGGGGAACAGTCACAAAGGGCAGCTTGCTAGCCTGTGCCCCAGAGGCGGTGCTCCGTGGGTTTCTGCGGATAGACCGATGGACTGAGAGACGCGGGAGCATGTTCACTATTGGCTTGATAAAGAGTCATTAAAAAAAAAAAAAAAGTCATTTTGGTTAAAAAGGGGGCAGGCGCAGGATCACAAGCCCTTGTATCCCAGACGGGCCAGCTGTTACCCAGCACGGCCCCAGGGTTGTTGGGTGGGTGCTGGGGGGTGACGAGGGACATGGTGAGCCGTACGGCACAATCAGGGAACGGCCGTGTGCTCGTCTTGGCGAGCCCCCAAACTCCCGCAGGAGTCAGCTGGAGACGAGGTGGCTTCGGAAAACCCCCGCAGAGGTGCAGCGGGGGTTGGTTTAGTAAGTTCCGGTTGCTGGGAAGCAGCCTTGACCTCCTGTTCCTCACCATGAAACTTGGAGATATGGCTTCATTTTTCTGATTCCCAACCTGGGCGTATCAAGTCTTTTCCAGAGAAAGAAGGCCCGAGAGAGGCCAGTGTTCCCAAGGCAACGCCCCCTGCCCATTTAGCTTGAAGGTCAGATGCAGCCTTGTTGCTTCAGAACCTCAGCTCTGTTGTGTATACCCGTTTTGTGCAGTGTCACTCACCCCTGCTTGTTTTCTGGGGGACTTCTGGCTTGGACTCTCTGTCAGACGCAAGGCTGAGTGAGGTGGGGTCCCTGTCTTCACGGTGCACGGCACACATACAGGTAGTCAAGGTCACAAGACCGGGCGATCTGTCCCTGGCCAGGCTGATGGGCACCTTTTTTGAGAACCCAGGAAAGAAGCATATAAATTAAACTGGAGAGTCTCAGTTTCTCTGCTGAGCTGGCATTTGAGGAGAGTTAGTGTTTTAATGGCAGAGAGGGAGGCAGGGTACCTACTAGACATAGGGTGCTGTGTGTGTAGGGGGTGTGGACGTGGTGGGGTGGCTGGTGGAGTGGGGGCAGGTGGCACTGGCTGAGAGGTTTGAACCTTTCCTAGAAGCGAGTGGCAACTTCTAAAGCTAGACACTGGATGAGACTTGTTTTGGGAAGGTCATGCTGGTGGCACGAATTGAAGGTGCCCGAAGGAGACACGAGGTAGGTCGGAGGCTCTTGTAGCGACTATGAGAGAGGCGCTGCACTCCAAGGGACGATGGGGTCTGGGCCTGTAACCGAGGTCGATGGTGCTGCCATTCCCCAAGGAAGGAAGCCTAGGATGAGGAGGTGCCCATGGGACACTGGCTGGTGCATTCTGGTACACAGGTGCCGGTATTGTCCTTCAAGAAAGCCTGGAGGTCATCATTCAGGGTCATCGCTATCTGTGTGGCCCCTGAAAGCCGAAACATGGATAAGGTCTCTCAGGAGGAGGGTGGGGCGTCAGCAGAAGGCTGTGGGGTGTCCTGAAGGGCCATGCACGTCGGGGCGGGGGGGGCGACCAAGATGAACACAGGAGGGAGACGGAGATGAGCTTTGCGGGGAGTGGGACGGGCCTCCTGCCCAGGACGGAGGGGCCCATACAGTCCTGCAGCCTGGGGCTCCTGAGCTATGTGAGTGAGGGGCAGTGGGCGCAGAGGTGTGGGTGGGCGGCCCTGCAGGCTGAGCCTCAGCACATGTGGGCACGGGCTCCAAGAGGCTTATTCACGGCAGGGGTGCAGGTGGGGCCTCTCGGGGCAGGACTGACTGGCCGTCATTTGTCCTTTAGAACGCACCTCATTTCTTTGACTTTCTCTTTTCTCTGCAGCTTACGCTTATTCCAGAAGTTTGACACATTCCGGATTCTGGTTTGTGGTGGGGATGGCAGCGTTGGCTGGGTGCTCTCTGAGATTGACAGCCTCAATCTTCACAAACAGGTGCATGGACGTGGAGGGGCCCAGCCAGGGGAGAGGGATGCTGCGGTGACAGGATGCCCCATGGCCCTCGGCAGGGCACAGCCAAGGGCTCCGAGGGAAGGGCAGGTAGTTTGGTGGCCTCGCAGGGCCCAGGAGCTGTGAAGTGGGGATGGGAACTTCACAGCTAGAAGTACAGGGAACTACCAGAGAGTGTTCCTGTCCCCGGAGGTCCCAGGCAGGAGCAAGTTGGGTGGGGCTGGGGCTGCCATCCGAGGTGCCCCCGCTGGCTTTTGTTGGATGGCGATAGATCTGCTGCCTCGTGCCTCCTGCCAGGGGGGAGGGGGCGGAGGTAGACTTGGGCATCAAGTCGGGACTTAGGATTTTTGTTGTTGTTGTTGTTTTGCTATTAAATTAAAAGTAGATTTTCCTGATTGGAAAAGTGTTCATTGATTTTCCACTCTCTGCTCTGTCATCCTCAACCCGCTCCCCAAAGTTAACCACTGCCACTAACGTCTTGAGAACTGTCTTTGAGACCTCCTGTCGACACACATACACATATGTATGTGTGTACATAGGGTAGAAGGTTGATGTAGTTTTAATGTAAACACACTCCCATTACCCATGCTATTCTGTTACTGTGTTTTGCCTTGTGATCCACGTCTGTAAATAGCCCAGCGATGGTTTTCCATCAGGCAGAGCCATGCGGCTGGGTTAGCTCGCCTACTGGCTCTGGCTCCTCCTCCGTGCCTTAGGCTGCTCCCTACCGGGGCCTCACCCCTTCACGCTCCTGGTGCCACAGAAACCAGCCTTTCTCTTTCAGTGTTGTTCACCTTCTTAGTTTTGCCTAAGTAGACAAGCAAAGATATGTTTTATTTTTATTTCTTTAATACTGTTGAAGTCAATATGTGGATTTAAAAAAAAACTTTTTTTAAATGTTTATTTTTGAGAGAGAGAGAGCGAGCATGTGCACCTTCAAGCAGGGGAAGGGCAGAGAGAGAGGGAGACACAGAATCCCAAGCAGGCTCCAGGCTCTGAGCTGTCAGCACAGAGCCCACCCAATGTGGGGCTCGAACCCACGAACCGTGAGATCATGATCTGAGCTGAAGTCGGATGCTCAACCGATTGAGCCACCCAGATGCCCCCAATACATGGATTTTTAAATGAATCACAT